TTGATGCATACAATCTGACGTCTGACAAATAACTACGAAATTAGTAATTATTTCTTTTGATTGATGTATGCAAGGAAATAAACTGAAGTAATCCATGATAAAAATTATGAATGCAGCATATAGCACTCAATGCATGAATTTTAGCATACATCAGAGTAGGTATGACTGTATGCTATCATTCAAAAAATCGAGCATTTTGTAATTCCATCTTAATTATTAATAATACATAAACAGACTTACCTCTTCTTTCATATCATTATCGATAATAGATCCTTCAAAGGATTGTAGAATTTCACTTGTTTTATATGCCTGAAATGAATATTTATGTATACGATGCGAATTTAATATAAAGCTAGAAATAAATTAAACAGTATGTGTGCGATGCATACATATATATTTACAGAGAAAAATAAAATACTTTATATATATTTATACTTTATATTTATGTGAGTATTTAAAAGATATTCTGAGTATATATATATAATTTATATATAAGAAATAAATTCTGTAATGTTCTTAAACTTGATATGTGTTTAACTATGAATAACTACATTCTAAATATTATTTGTAATCGTGCATCTTATTTTTATCGCAAAAAATATTTTTTTTACCTCGATTGACGCACTCGTGCAAAGCCAATTTATTAATATAATTTTAAGTAAATAAATGCTTCCCCATATTGCCATAGCAATAACCTTTTCATTATTGACCGTTATATGACCAGAAAAAACACAATATAAATAATAAACATTCGATGTTACTACCGTAAAATGGACTGCCAATTCGAACAAAAATTGCACACAATAATCAGAATTAATTTGTCTTCCTATTCTTGTAATTTCCAAATGTAAATGTCTTTAACAGAAAAATATTAATTAATTAGTAATTATTTAAATATAATATTAAAATCTTTTTGAATATTCGTGCATGCGTCGCGCATATGTGCGTGCGTACGTGTGTGCGTATGTAAAGGGAGAATGTATAAACACATAATATATTATAGGACCGTATATGTAATAAACTATAGAAATCAAAGCCTTAAACAATCTAGCTGGATCTTAACGTTTGTACAATTCTTATGTGAATTTATATATTATGTATGTGTGATATTACTGCGGTAGTTTAGTGGAGTTAATGTTTCAACAAAAAATCATTTCGGTATGTGTTTCTGGGAACTACATACGTAAAATATAAATTCACAAGAATCATACAAGCATTAAGATCCAGCTAGATCGTTTAATTTGATTTCTATAATTTATGTTAGAATGTAAAAATAGCTCTTAAAGCTCTTTGCTGTTTGCAAAAATTATTGTGTTTTACATTAAAACATTATAAGTGCAAAAATCATGAAAATGTATTTTAGTTCATAAATAGATTATAACTTTAAAATACTCTATCCTATCACGTATTGTGTTTGGTGTGAAATGTGCTGCTAAGTAGTGAAAAATGGATAGTAAAAATCGAAACCTATTGTAAATCCATAATGTGATTAATACATTTTTATTTGGACTTACAATAATTTGACTTGTATTTTTACTTTGAAATATTATTTTTACTTACATTGAAATTTTAACAACTTTAATATAATTTTTAAAAATTAAAATTACTTAATTAAAATTTTTTGCAGAAAATACTCATATTTTTATTATGATATAATAATTCTTTTAGAATTTTGAGATAACAATTTTCAAGAAAATAAGTTTTATTTTCTCCCAAAAAATTACAAAACGTTTTGCTTTGGCACGTCTATATATTATATTAATTTAATAAATGTTATCAATAAATATTATAAAATGCAACTGTTTTGAAGTATTATATATTTAATATATATTTATTACAAATTTATATAATTATTATAATACACTAATGGAAACTTTATAATATAGGAGCAAGAATAATTATTGATCTTACCTCAAAGTCTGCATGAGATGCATTATATTTTCTTTGTGATTTTTATAATTTACCATGACAAATGCAATAGACATATTTTCATGCTGATTATGAAGCTTGAAAGTATTTGATTCATTTACATAGAATACTACATTATTGATTAGAGTATTTATCTCCTGAAATTTGGTTTGGATCTATGGTATTGTAATTTTGATCAGTGCGCAAGTACGTAAATAGAAGCGTGTTACACTTATTCAAACAATTTAAAAAGAAATATTTCGTAATAACTACAATCGATTAAATATCTTAGAAATTAAAAAAATTTTAACAGTTTTAATACTTCACAAAACACAAACTTCTCATAATATGTGTGAGTATTTTTTGAGAAACATATTACTTGCCTGATAAATGAGGCGAACGTGAGGTCTATTACAGAATTTATCATAATCGGAAAAATAAAACATATGCAGCTATAAAAGGCAAGCCAGTATCCAACATTAATATACGTCCACATTATGTGCAAGACGCATATTATTATCATGCCTATTAGCCAGAGAGCGATAAGAGACAGAATATTGCGAAAGTGCTTTTGATACTCTCTTTTTATACCCAATGCCTCTAAAGTATTGTCCACTATATTACTCCTTTTAATTATGATATTTATATTCTTTAAAAATTAAAATTTGTTAATAAAATAGTCAATTTGTTCAACAATACTTATTGTTACTATGTAAACATAAGACATTGTGATGTCAAAGAAAAATATGTATATGCGCGTAAACTTAACATTTCTATAATTCATAAAAGAATGTAAAAGAGGAAGACTTTTATATTCTTATATTAATTGAATATTGATATTTCTATAATTTGTTAATGCAATTTGTTCATATCTCTATCTTGCCGCTTTTACATGAAACTTACGTACCTCTGACTTCCACCAAAACAAAATTATAGCCAAGATGGCAACTAAGATGTTGATCCCCAAAACAAAATGAAATATCATGAACTCATAAGCAAACGCTTGCTGGAAGATATCAATTCCTTTGTAAAATATAGTAAAGTAACCAATTATTATCGAGATGACGTAGAAAATACTAAAAAAATATCGTGGGCGATTTATCGGTATTTCGAATATTCCCATGCAAAATATACGGTTGAGCCATATAATAGGCATAATTGCCTGTTTCAAATTTCTCACATTCGACATTATTTTAAATCGTTCTCTATCAATCTAGATCAATTTGTACAATTATTAACAAATATATATTTAATGATATTAAATGATGTTATAATTAACACTTTATGAATAAGCTCCTTTTTTTAACTTTTATATACAGTCTTACTACGGTATCTTCATTGAAACGATAAGTTATATAAACGATGAATATCGAATAACTGAAATGTACACTGAAAGTTGTTTAATTGCGAGTGTGATCGAATTGTCGTAAAGTACGGAAAAAACGTGTTACATCTATTAAATGTCTATAAAAACTAAATTTAACTTGAACAGGGTACTAATGCGTGTTAACCTTAATGAATTCTCTCATCAGCGAACAACTAACAGCTGATAAATGATCTCGCATGTTAATGTGATATCATCACTAGCCTTTATAAGTCATGCAATTTCACTTATTACACACATGTTTTACGCCAGTAATATGTATTGTATAATACTTTCGATCACTTGTTTGGTTAAGCATAACTTGCCTGACATTTTCTCTTTACTAAGAAGCATGTTTAACATAGCGACAAGAAATAATTGCAATCTGTAAATTCATCTCTGTCTCGATAATTTATTATAACATATTTCTAATAAAATGATTGTACATCTTTTGACCTAGTTTTTAATTAAGTGAAGTATAAATATAGATATTTAATATTACTTGTTGAGTTATATGGAACTTCTATTGATTGTACATGCATACAGAATGAGTATAAATTGAAAAATATAATAATACGAAAAGTACTGTAATTGGTCTACGTACAAATAGATTGATTATCAAACAATTGTAAAATTACATTTTTTGTAGAATGCAATCAATCTTTCAAGATCGCATAACTATTCACGAATAATTATTCACAAGAGCAATAACTGTTTAATTAGTTGAACTGATCGATAATCAATTTACATTGTTTTCTAACAGTATTGTAGTAAATTATACTATGTTATAAGATTTCGGTTTTCGAACATATAAATGGTGATTCTTATTATGTATTTTCAGTTGCTGACAAAGAATATAAAGTTAAATATTTAGTAAGAATAAATATTAAAAAGTTTCATTAACTATAGATTTTAAGAAATTAAGAAATTTACAATATTTTTTACAAATTTAAATAATTTATAAACCTTTTTTTTATTTTATGAGATGAGATAAAATGCAATAGATAAGAATCATTCACATTATTTAGATATTGAAAAACAAAAAACCTTATAAATCAATAAATTTTTGATATTAAATATTGCAAATAAATTTTATTATTTTAATATGATATCTAAAATTGTACATGAACAATAAAAGGAGCTTTATATCGTCACATATATTTTCATATATTATAAAGAAATATTTAATTTTCTTACATTAAATATATTACAAATTTGCATTGTTACATAAAAAATTAATATGGAATTTTCAAAAATTTAAAGGAAGAAAGAAATAAAGAAATGTTTAAGAAAAAAAAACTGGTTGGTTCAATACATACATCACACTTAGACTACAACTCTTTCTCTCTTACCAGATATGAAAAATATATTACTTAGAAAAAAAATTGTATCTTGTTAATTTATTATTATACTATTCTATCTACTTTTTTAAATCATTGCAATTTGATTTATTAAAATTTTCAGCATTGCAAGAAAAAGCAGAACTATAAGAAAAATAATAAAATTTTACTAATCAATTTACAATGTTAAACATTTTAAATTAATTTATTGCATACATTTGAATATGTTTGAGAAAAATTTAATTCTATATTAAATACACGACATTTATAAAGAGTAATATTTTATGTAAACTCTTAAATTGCTTTATAAACTTCTATTTTTTGAAATTAATTCTATTAATAAAAGATTGTTCATCTAACATATTTGAAGTCTCATTCAATCTTATACGTTATTTTGTCATACGGATTGTTACAGGTACGAAGTTTATTTGTATTAAAATAACCACATACGTTGTGACCGTGGCAAAGAACTGAAAAAATATATGCAGTTTCTTGTCTTTTTCATTTTTTAATCTGATAATTACATAATGTAGCTTTTCACTTTAATTTTGTTATATATAATTATTATATATTAAAAACATTATATAATAATAAATAAATAACAGAACCTTATTAAATTAATTAAGTTAAACAAATAGTAAATAACATACCTTGCCGGTAAGAGAATTATTAATTGAAAAGAAACCAAAAGCGGTAAAGTTTAATGATCTAAGTATTATTTGTTGTGTAAATTGATGAATCTGTAAACACATTTTTGCATTCTTATTATATTTCTAAATATTGTATATTTATATATGTCATATAAAGAAAAAGTTTGTGTACTGAATTTTTTCAGCAACGCTAAAAGTTTCTATAGTGGCGTAGTAGAAAATCTAAATACGTTTAGTATAATTTTGGTTAACGATTACAGCTTTTTGTCAATAATTGTAGAAATAGTTTTTTTGCATTATCGGAATGGGGCGTGATATTTTGATAATAAGGAAAATCAAATTTCTTGTAAAAGAATTGGCTAGAAATTTATAATCAGACTATTTGTAGCATTTCATAAATTTCTGGTTCATTCTTTTCGAATTTCACAAAAAAACTTTTCAGGACTATCATGGAATAAATCAAAATGAATTTCAATTAAAATTATTCCGTTTTACTTATAAAACTTAAAAATCTAGAAAATAATTGAATAATTCCAATCAAAATCCATTCCAAATAATTCCACAATACATATTCTGTTTTTGTTAAAAATCACATTTTATTCGTCGGTACTAAAAAAACTATTTTCAACAATTATTGATATAAAAAATTGCATGTGCAATCGTCAATGATAAAATTATACTGAACGTATTCGTTAGACTTTCTAGAACACGTTATGTCATCGTCATAGAAACCTGCAGTGTTATTAGCAGAAAAAATTCAATGCATAAATTTTTTTCCACATCATATAATTATTCAAATTATGTAGTACATTGAACTTATACAAATCTGTGATTTATATAAGTTCTGAAATGAATTAATTTTTATATAAATATTAAATAATGTTTTACGTTATGAAAATAGCTCTAATTTAATTTATATAATTATCAATAATAACATAAATAGATTTACCTCTTCTCTCATATCATCATCGATAATAGACGCTTCAAAGGATTGTATAATTTCACCAGTTTTATATGCCTGAAATAATTATTAATTCACGATATGAATTTAATGTAAAGTCATGAATAAATCGGACAATACGTTATATATATTTTCATGAAGAATTATTATGCTCGTATATACATATAAGTATTTAAGAGATACACTGAGTATATAGAATTAATATGTATATAAAAAATAATTTATGTAATATTCTTAAACATGATAACTTAATTCTAACTTAACTTAATTCTAAATAATGCATATATTGTATATTTATTTTTATAAAAATAGTTTTTTATACCTCGGATGATACACTTGTGCAAAGTCCATTCATTAATATAATTTTAATTGAATATATGAACGTCCATATTGCCAAGGCAATAATCTTTTCGTTATTGACTGTGTGTAATTGGCCAGAATATGTAAGATATAAACAATAAATACTCGATGTCACTATTGTAAAATGAACCGCTAATTCAAGTAAAAGTTGCAGACAATAAATATTATTTATTTGTCGTCCTGTTTTTGTAATTTCTAGATGTAAGTGTCTTTGACAAAGAAATATCAATTAATTATTCATTATTAATGATTATTTAACTAATAAACTTTGAACTTTTAAATACTAAGTTATTTAAATAATTTATATAAGCCACACATATTGTGTGTGTGTTTTATGTGAGAAATTGAGACAAAGGAAAAATATATATAAAATAGGCTTAATTTTTAGTAGAAATATTTACATTTGTCATTAATTTAATAGATATCATAAAAAAATACGTAAGAAACAAATAATTGTTAAAGTATCATACATTGATTTCATTTTTATCAGATTTTTTTATCATGTTTTTTTAATTATCATACAGCAAACTAATCAAAATTAATAGAAACGAGAATTATTATTGATCTTACCTTAGCGTCCGAATGAGATGCATTATTTTGTCTTTATGGATTTTATAATTTACCATTATAAATGTAATAGATGTATTTTCATGCTTATTACGAATCTTGATGGCATGTGATTCATTTGCACAGAGCATTACATCGTTGATTAGAATATTTGTCTTTTGAAATCTGGTTTTAATACATCTGCCACATTGTAATTTTAATCAATATTCAAATAAAAAGAGTAGTATTATTATATTTACTTTCCATTGCAACAATTTAAAAAAACATTAATATTCTTGAAGCTTCCGTGGGTACTTTCTGTATAAAGATTATGCGTTTCGCAGATTTTCTCCGTATCCAGATCCATTCTTGGAATGCCAACGTTTCGTGAAACTTGCAGTCTTCTTCAACAGGACAAGGAGCAGCATCAGGGCAAGACACCAGTATATGAAGTGGACTGCAAGGTTCATGAAACGTTAACATTTCAAGAATGGATCTGGACATGAACATCTGGAGGAAACCCGCGAAACGCATAATTTTTATATTAAAAAAACATTATTATGATTAATAAATATGTTGGAAATCAAGATAAAGAAATCTTATCAATTTTTGTATTTTAGATAAATTTTTTATAAGATACGTAAATATTTTTTTAAGAAATATATTCTTGCCTGATAAGCGAAGCGAAGGTAAGCTCTACTACAGAATTTATCGTAACTGGAAAACAGATACATATGCAGCTGTAAAAAGCAATCCAGCATCCAACATTATGATAAAGCCATATTATATACAAGATGTTTACTGTTATCGTGCACACCGACCAGATAGCCACAAAATTTAGAATGTTGCGGGAGGTTTTCTCATATTCTATTTTTATGCCCAGCGTGTTTAAAGTACGGTCCGCTATACCATTGCTCTTAATTATGTTGTTCATATTCTTTAAATGTCGAAATTCATTAGATTAGTAAATTTGTTTAATAATAATTATTCGAAAACATAAAATATCATGATGTCAAGAGAAAAAATCTACACAATCTCAATATATTCAATCTATCTATCTCAAATGTATTACTTAACGTTGTTTTATATTTACAAAAAGAATATAACAAAAAAAATTCTTTATTAACATATTTTGAAATTAGCTAACCGATATTTCTGTAACTCCGTTAGTAATCTTTCCATAATTTTAATATATCATATCTACTAATTTTACATTAAATTTACGTTTGTTACATACCTCTGATTTCCACCAAAACAGAATTATAGCTAAAACAGCAACTAAGACATGGACTCCCAAGACATAATGAAATATTACAAACTCAAAAGCAAACGCTTGCAGGAAGCTATGAATTCCTTTGTAAAATATGATGAAATATCCAGTCATTATCGAGATGACATAGGAAATACTCAGAAAATATCGTGGGCGATTTATGGGTATTTCGAATATTCCCATGCAAAATATACAATTGAGCCATATAATAGGCATAACTGCCTGTTTCAAATTTTTCACACCCGACATCATTTTGTGATGAATCATTCACTATCAATCTAAATTGATTAATTTGTATAAATAGTAATAAATCAATCTAAATTGATTAATTTGTATAAATAGTAATAAATAGTAATAAATATGTAATTATATTAAATAACGCTATGATTAACTTTATGAATAAGTGTAAATTGTTTTTTCAATTTTACATGTAGTTGAACACAGTTTTTTCGTTGAAACGATAGTCGTACAAACAATAAATTTCAGACACTGAAAGCTGCCATTTAACTGTGAATACGACCAAGTTGTCGTAAAATATGGAAAGAACTAGATAGCCTATTCTATGTCTGTAAGACTAAATTTGACTTGGACGAGATGCGTGTTATTCTTAATGAATTCTACATTGTAGCCAGTTAGCAACTAATAAGTGATAAGCGATCTCGTGTCCTAATATGTATCAGCTTACGTAGGTCATGCAATTTCATTTATTACACGCTAGTAGTGTATGTTATACACTTTCAATTACTCATTCGGTTATCCTTGTTTGACTTTCCCTCGCTACCGAGAAGCAAGTTTAACCAACGGTAATAAATAATAGTAATCTGCAGCATCATATTTAGCACTTTATTATAAAATTACATGATAAAATAATGCACCATTTGCGATCTTAATTTTAATTAAATGAAGTATAAATATAAAATCTTAATATCATTTTTTGAGTTACACTCATGGAAATTGATGTACGTGCGTATTCTACAAAGATAAATTGAATAATATATGATAAAAAATAAGTTGACTATGTATAAATAGATTAAGTGTAATCTTAATTTTATTATTTACAAAATATAATATAATTATTGTTTATACAAAAAGTATTGTACATACAATTGTATAATATATTTCTATTTTTCTGTTTAAATTATTAAATTTTATAGGAAAATAATTCAAGAAATTAATTTTTTTAATGATCTGCATAAAAATATTTTTAGATTGTATATTATGACTTATGAGACCTATAATAGCCTTGCATTACGCGATAAATGTGATATGTTTTCACTTTATTGATATGATCTGAAATTGGATTATTAAAATTTTCATTTTAATTGAGAATTATATTGAAATTATATTGCAATATAATACAAATGACAAAAGTAATATCATTAATAGAATTTTCGCGTTTTAGAAAAATTACTTTCTATACTATTATTTTATGTAATTGTTTTAATTCTTATTACTAAATACTGATTGATCAATATATAAATGTATAATAACCCTGCATATTATAAAAAATTCTAATATATCCCAATATCATTAACAATTGTTTTTATTTATTACACTGTTGTGTTTTTTGTGTTAAATCTACAGTATTTCATACTAAAACGATAATTAAATTTGATATTATAGTGTCAAATTGGCACTATATAATCACTGTCAAATATAATCACTGTTTTAGTATAAAAGAACGATATAATCACTCATCTTAGATTAAATTTGATTATAGATTTAATCTTACATTTAATAATGCATCAATACCAATTTTTAAATCGCTCCACTGCGCGTTTCCATTGATGCAGCGCATATTGATAAGATAATCGCGATTCTTCGTTTGGTTTGAATATTTTGTCCGTTTGACGGAATTCTAATAGTTCTTCTCTGTTCTTCCAAATTCCTGTATTGAAATTATTGTATTAAACAATATATTAAAAGTTATATATTATCATTGTAAGTACAGTTATTTAATCGTATAACTTTTAATATTCGATTATTATATTATTTAAAAATGCGCGTTCAATAGTTTGTCGGAGCAATTAAAAGTTAATAAATGAATACTCTAAATTATACTTGAATTAAAGATAGTGCAACACAAAGAACCGCACGAATTTGAGACATAAAAAAAAAGTAATATTAATTTCTAATAAATTGTTCAATTATAAAATATAAAATATAGATGAAGTATTATAATAATAGAAATTTTTTTGTACCACATTGTAAACCAGCCAGAAAAGCTACTCCTAAAATGGACATTTCGACAGATACCGGACGCTCCACTTCCAATCCCGTCGAATCAGCTAATGATTGCATAACAAAATCATTCTTTGTAACTCCACCATCGACTCTAAAGAATAATATTTTGTATTAGTTCAATACCATATTATATATAAATATTATTATCAATATCAATTTATCAATATTATCAATTATTATCAATTATGTTTATATATAAATATTTAAATATTAAAATAAAGTTACATTAGAAATAGCAGAAGTTAGAAATCAATAGTACAGATAAACAAAACATTTCTTTCTCTTTTATAATATTGTAATAGTTTTTGTATCATTAATTACGCAGATTATAAATATAGATTTTTAAGCACATCATTGTATAATTTTTACTTTATTTTTTGATATGTAAAAGAAGTTTCCTTGCATAAGCATTCATAAAGTAGCTGTATCCTGAAAACGAGACTTTCCAATAGAGATCGAATAATGTGTTCTTTTTTTGTAGTGGGCTTCAAACCGAAGAAACCAGTTGCAGCTGTATAATCATTTATGGGCGCCTGAAATAATAAGCGATGTATAGTATAATTATATATTTTCGCACGGGTCCATTATTATTTTTTATCTTAATTATATATCTATATGCTTTAATATTTTCTTTTTCTTCTGAACGTTATAAAATAAATAAAAAATATTTTTCAAATATTAGTTTAAATAAAAATATTAGTTAAATATTAGTTTAAATAAAAATATTAAGTAAAAATTGCAATAATATTTTATATATATTTGTTATTAAAATTAAAAGATATAATATATATTTTTAAATATATATTGTCTTTTATTTTTATAGTTAAGAAATGTTTAGAGAAAATAATTTTCTTGATTAAACTACAAAAACGTATATATTTTTGTGTGAGAAGAAATGATTTTATAATATTCTTATATATGACTTTTTGATTAAATAATTTAATATAATAAAACATACTTGTAATCCGCTGAATGCCGGAATGAAATATACTCCATCGGTGTCATTAACCGAATTTGCCGCATCGGATGTTTCCGAAACATTGTTTATAATTCCTGCAGCAAACGTAAATAGAAATCAATGTACATGTAATGGTACTATATATATAAAATTCCTTCAAAGAAATAAAATATTACTTTTTGCTTTAAAAACTTACATGTATATTATTTATACAGTGTAAGCCCCTATGTAAACCCTCACAATTATTAGAGCGTAAAATATTTTTCAATATATATTTAGAAAGCAATAAGACATGATTCGCATATATATATATAATAATTGGAATGTACTTAATAAATGAAATCAAGTGCAGCTATCTCTATGCTGGATAGAATCGAAGTGCAGTTAATTTCATCTAGTGAAAACATTTTATATTTGCGAATTATTCCATCGTTTTCAATTAGCAATTTTTGAATAAAAAGTAAAATAGATTGTATATTTCTCAAAATTTTATTTAATTTTTTACTTAAAAAGGTAAAATATCATTGTGTGTGTCATAATTAAAATACATTATTTTAAAAATATATGAAAATGAAAATTACTATTATTTGAACTCACAAAAATAAAGTAAAAATTATAAATAAAGTAAAAATTTTTAATTTAATTTATAATATTATATGATGCAAAAAAATATAAAGATATCTTATATATGATAATCAAAAAATTAATAATATTATATAAATTAAACAATATTGTATATGTATATAAATTTGATAATGTTTATTAAGTTTTATAAATTACCTATTGATTTAGCCCACTCAATTATTACACCGGTGTCGCTTGAAGATCCTTCTACAACGTATACTAATTCTTTTCCAATTCGCCATCCGACAACTGGATAAAGTCCTATAAATTTTTCCATTTTAGCTCTATTATTTTAAAAAATTTTTTTAAATTTTTAAAAATTATATTTTTAGCGATATAAATATGCAAAATTACCAGCAATGGATGCGTGTGGTTCCCGTCCTATGTTAACGTTCATGAAAGTACCTGTCCCCATAGTAATTTTGAGATCGCCAAGCTTAAAACATCCTGAACCAAATAAAGATGCTGCTTGATCAGCCATCTAATTTTATCAACATATTATTAGGAAACTTATTAACTCTAAAATTAATTAATGAGATTTCATACGTAGTGTATACTTTACTATAATTGTTGTAATGAAGTTAAACAATTATATGAAATTATTTACTGAACAATAAATTGGAATTTCAGCTCCGAATATGTCTTTAGGAGTAATTCCAAAATATCCTGCTGTATCAACTACTTCTGGAAAAATTTTTTGTGGCAGTTTTAAAATATTTAACGCCCAATTAGCCCATTCCATTGTAAACGGGTCAAAAATACCAGTTGCTGAGGCACTTGAAACATCCATTATGTGCTTTCCTATAACAAACAAAATGAATATTAATTGGCCATAATATAGCGAATAAATATTATTACTTTATTATTATTATTATTATTGTTATTATTATTATTATTATTATTATTATTATTATTATTATTACATTTGACATTTACATGTATATGTTTATATACAGGTAACTATTACATATAACATTTATTAAGTTTTATATTAGAAAAATATTGTTTTACCTGTTAATTTATATAAGAGCCAACAATCCACACCTCCAAACGCTACCTCTTCATTTTGCTTCATAGCTTCTCGGAGACCTGATATATTCTGAAGAGCCCATACTAATTTTAAAGTCACCTGAATTAAAGGGAAATAAAGATTTTAGATCATTAATTATTGAAAAAATTTTGAGAAAGTCTATAAGTTCTATTACAAAATTATGCTAATAATAACTCAAATTTGATGAAATATGACGATCTAATAATCAAATTTATAACAGAATTGACTGTTAAAACATTTCAACCTGCATATTCATAAATTTTAGCACGCTGCCAGCTAAAAATCGTTTTCTTCTTGTAAATGTATACAAGATACTCGCGCCCATTCTTAAACCTCTCATTATTATTGATTGATTCCATTCCTTGACTAAAGTAGCCGCTCGTTGATCCTTCCATGTTATAAATCTGTTAAAAATAACAATCATAATTATAATATTTCGATACATCCTTGTTTAATTCAATAACATAACAATTATAGTTAATTGTTAAATATACAATACGTAATATAAATATACGTACGAAACCTCATAAATCAATTTTGAAATTAATAAGTTTAAATCAAATTGTTTTTATCGAATCATTACTGTTGCATCTTTTATAGCATTCTACCTGTGGTAGCATTTTCCAGTTTTCAAATTCCAAGTAATAAAACTGGCGCGTTGCGATGAAATTCCAATGCAAGTAATATTCTTCGAATTGATTCCGCTATCTGTAATCATAAATAAAGCAAATTAATCTAATTATTGTTATAAATGAATAAAAATAACTTTTTAAAAATAAAACAAAAACAAGCCAAATATATAAAGGATATCAGTAGGTGATGGAATCTAAAACTAAGATATATCTCTATTTATTCCTCATATCTATTTTTAATTTTTAATGAACAAAAGTGATAAATCATGATGATAGTTAAATATTTAGGATATTAGATACCCACAGAAAGATACTTGCATAAATTTTTATTTAAATGGAAAGTAAACATCCCAGAGAAATGACAATGGAATCGACATCAAATCGATGTCGATTCGACGTCGAAATCATTAAATTCGACATTGATTCGACAATGATTCTATTGTCATTCTTCATTGGAATTCTATTGTCCAATCAAATAGATATATAAAGAAAAGTTTTATTTGTTTGAATAAAATGATTTCAATAAGATCTGAAAATACAGATTTAATTAAAATCGAAATCACATATAAATTATAATATAATCGAAATCATATTAACAAGTATTTATTATTTCTTACTTCAATGCATCCAATTGGCGTTCATCTTGGTTTACGGATATCTCTAGAACAGTTCGAAATACAGAAATGAGGTTCGACACACTTTCGACGAGTAGCTAAAACTCAACTCAAGCCTCAATATATCATGCAGCTTATATTATTATATTCGATGCTATTACGTAAAAATTTATTAATCAATAATCTTATTCACAAATTAAAGTGAAAGTTAAAAAACTAACCCAGATAGCAAAGCGTGTCTCAGCAAAATGCATAAATCTGTGATTGTTTATGATGCTGGCAACTTGTTTTAGATTTGTCTTCAATGATTTTGAATAAACCGACATTGTAGCAACATGCAGATAACGTGTATATGTATTGCCAGCAGTTTTATATATATTGACAGCAAAATAGCTGCGTCAATGTTATCTTGCGTTGTCAGCAATATGACAGCATTGTATGATGCTACATATTATTATGGCAACATGATGGCAATAATATAAATTTTGATAATAACGATTTTAAAGTTATCGGCATATTGCTAGAAAGTTGATACTCAACATTATCATGAAGATATTAACAAATGAGGATTCAGTTGCAATTTTGTCAATAACAATTTTATTGCAATTTTGATAACAACACATACTTAGCAAGGCATACTTAGCAAGCAACATGTCAGCAACAAGACAGACACGTTGCTATCTGAGAAATACATTTAGCCGTCTTTTGTAAGTTTTATAAAATTTTTTATATAAGATTTACATAAAATTTTTTAAGATTTACGTAAAATTTATATAAGATTTACATAAAATTTATTTATGTGTAATTAATAGAGATACGATCAATTGTGGCTCAAATTAAAGCTTTATCTATTGAAAATGCGTGAAAAACCAAACTTTTCTGCGTTCATCGATTCCAGATGATAGATTGTGGAGTTCAAAAGGATCCACATCGACATATTTTTCAAAAACAATTGATATATTTTAAATTTTTATATATATTTTTTTTATTATAGCATTTCTATTAGGAAGAGAAACTACTAATGTGCACAGATGAAGCCTCATAGGGACTTTTTTTATTATTATTAAGAAATGATTAAGAAAGAGTTTATTAAATTTTGATGCCTTTCAAAAGAAGATGCTATTATAATAATAACTTACGATCTAAAGTATCCTTGATTACTTTTATTATGATCTGCCATAGATGATTGGGATCTATCTCCACAAAACCAGGCTCTGGATATATCAGATTTACCTAGAAAAAGATTATAAAAATTAGAAAAAGATTTTATTTTTATTTTATTTTTATTTTATCCATATATTCGATTTAGCCTATCAATTTAATTTAATAACTTTGAAATTATAGCTTAACATTTATTTTATTTTTTTTTCGGAAGAAGATATTAACAATTTTTAATCGCATGTTTTAATTTTTAATTTTTTTTTAATTATGAATACTTTGTTCGATAATTAAATCGATATTAAACATTTATAAGTAAGTACAGTCTCTTTGTTGTGACCTTATTAATTCGCAGAAGATACTAAGGAGCACCTTTACACTGTAGTAATAACTTTGTGACCTTAAGAGCATTCTATTTTTGCATTTACTTCTTTCTCCACTTTTATTTTTTCTCTAACTATTATGGCAGTCATACGCGATAAAGTATGCTTGCACAAATCATATGGAAATTTACTTGAACATATGTCAAAAAACTGCACTGTTATTTTGACTGCACAAATGACCTGAACACATATAAAAATTTGTTCGATATATTTGCGCAAATGACTTACACAGTAAATCGAAGCGTGCATATAACACATTTAAAATCCAATCAGAACATCTGTCTGAATTGTTTCCATTTTTTTGCATTTAGCATCTTCCCTTTCTCTTTCTTTAACGCCTGAATATATATTTATTTCATTTTAAATATAAATTTTGAGGCATTTTGAGGCATTTTTCGAGCAATGCAAACAGATTTTAATTAAAAGTTAATTAATTATAATTCCCTTCTCTATATGTTAAATTTCTCCCCCTTTCACAGTACCTTTCCCTTCTCTTGGAAACACTCAATTGTTTTTCCCATTCTTAAAACCAATAACCCTTCTTCTCCTTCTTCTTTTCGCCCTATCTCGCTTCCTCCTTTCCTCTCAAAGCTTAAGTATATCTGCTTCTTACAACTAAATGCCTTTGTCTCCAATTTTAATATTCTTCCCTCCTGTCAGTCTGGTTTTCATCAATCTCATAGCACGACGACGGAATTGCTTCACATCTCTGACGTCGTGCTTCGTAATTTCGACAATTGTTGCCTTACTTCCATCGTTGCGCTTGACTTCACAAAGATTTTCGATATCATCAATCATGATCTACTTTTAGCTAAACTGAAGTTATGCGGTCTTTCTCATCCTGCTCTCTCGCTAATCTGTTCGTTCTCTACAAATCGCACGCAACAAGTCCTCGTATATAATCCTTTTCCTCTTTTTTTATCTACTCGTGCTGTTTTCTCGGATATTCCTCAGGGTTCCATTTTCGGACCTCTCTACTCTTTAATATCTTTGTCTCTGATTTGTCTAATATTTCTTTGTCCTCCGAGCTCTTCATGTAGATGACATAATTCTTCTCAAATTCTTTCACCCATTTGATGTTTTAACAACTTATTCTGCTTTAAATACAGATTTAAAATCTATCGCCGAATGATCCACTAATAATACCCTGCATCTAAATCCTTCTAAATCATCCTTGCTAATTGTCGGTTCCTCATTATTGTTATCCTGTATTCAATTCTTTGAAATTTCTCTTAATTCTATTCCAATTCCTCGCTCCTTCTATATTAAGATTCTTGATATCCTTGATGTCTTTGATTCATGTCAGATCATTCGAATCACACATGGTCGTCAAGTATTGTTGCTTATACTTGTTTTCATCTTCTTTATTTCTTTCCATTTTTTCCTACTCTCAAAAAACTCCTCACGTCTCAATTATTTGTTATTTCTCTTTTTGATTATGCTGATGTTATCTACGTTTCTGCTCTTAATCAACATCTACTAAATCGTATATAGCGTATCCAAAATTCTTGTCTCCGCTTCCCCTATTATGTTCGTAAATACGACTACATATCTCCGTATTATCAGAGATCTGATTGGCTTAAAATGCGGCAACGTTTTATTCTTCATCTATGCTATCTTGTATTTTCTCTTCTTTGCTCCAATGTTCCTCTATATCTCCTTCAGTTGAACTCTGAGCATCATTCCTGTTTTAATTCTCTTGTCACCAGATATTAAGATTATCCTTCCCTATATATCGATCGATTAAGTTCCGTGCTGTTTTTTCCTACACTTCTATCAAATATTTTAATTCCCTTTCTGATTCAAGAAATCTCTCCTTCTCTATCCTCCTTTCGTTGCGCTGTTCTCACGTTTTATTACGTCACAGTATTCAAACGAAATTAATGTAATTATGTTTGTGGATGTGTATGTGTGTATGTATGTGTTTTCAATTATTAGTTTACCTCTTATTGTTGTCTTATTTTGATAGGCTTTGTAATAGCAATTTTGTTGACACCTAATTTGTAAGCTACTATTGTCTATTGTATTTATGTTTATGTTAACTATAGTCTACTATATCATACTTTATGTCTATTACTCTGTTAACATGTAGTCTTTTTCTTATAGCTTTGTAATAAACTAAATTAAATTAATTTAATTAAATAATAAATTTAATCTCTTGCATTAATTGGATTAATACATACCAAAAACTGTTGTACATGAAATTAGTTAAGTTAAATGAAAAAACATATAAATTAAATGTCCAGTAATGATCAATATATCAATCATAGTCAATTATTCTCTTCCCATTCGACTGTAATTAGTCAATTATTCTTACAGATTACAATAAATGAACAGATTATGACCAGTGTATGATCTTTTACGTTCAACTGGTCTATGAACAAGATTAATTATGAATTTCGAAAATGTGCACTGCAACTTCTCTTTCAACTGACGAGTATATATGCTTATATCAGCATGCTGCAAATTTATTAGAATTATCTTTTCTCCGACGGCATACGCATGCATTTTTTATAGATCTATTTACATTTAAAATATTATCGTTTCGTGATAATTCGGAAATAAGTATAGCAAGATTGTATAATCGCTTAAAAATTACAGAAATAATTTCTTTTTTTGTCTCTGACAGAAAATGAATTTTATTATTATTTACGTTATTACACAAAATCCTTCAACTCCTTTACAAGATTTTTACAAACATTGCGAAAAGCATTCCCATTGATTTATAATTAAGAGAAAAATGAAAGCATATATAACTTCTTATTATTTATTTATTATGCAGTATGAAATTAACATAAAGACGAACATTTGTTCATTTTTTATCTTATTCGTGAATTATTAGTAAAAATAAAATTTAAAATGACTGATTTGATATTAATTCCAATTTATCAATTTTATCATTGAAATATAATTTCTACTAATATTCGTTTTTTGTAAAATATAGTGTTTTACAAAATGTAATATATTATAGAATAATTGTGAACAAACAATGTAAATGTGATATTGGATTTTTTTAATAATATTTTCTAAAATTTTTTTCTTATGTCTTTTAATCTCGTGGGATTAACAAATTTTGTACATTACATAATTTTTAATTTTAGTTTACTTATAAAGTTTAACATTTAAATTCTATTTGGAGATAATCCAATTTAAAAATGTATACGACATTAACTACCATTGTTATGCAAATTCATAAGAAGCGCAAATGATATTAATAACAAGCAGTGCGGTTGCCATATGGAATCAAGTTCATAAAATATGTTATTGCGTATATATGAATACACACACACACACACACACACACACACACACACACACACACACACACATAGTTTTATAATAAAAAAATTTAATTTGGAATTATAATTATGCATTTTGTTTCGGTTTTTGTTTAATTTTAAATTAATGTAACAAATGATTTATTGTTATAAGGTCGAAACGTTTATTTAAATATTTTTATATTATAGACATTAAATTTCTTATTAGCAAAAACATCTAGTTTGGCTTATTAGCCCTTAGTTGTTATTTGTGAGTTTTATTTGAAGTCTATGTTCAAATATAAATTCGAATTCATGTTTATTTATCATCCAAATTTTTATAGGGAATTAATCGCAACAAACCTTTTCCATCGAAGAAGCTATTGTGACTGCTTTCTCATTAAGAATGTGAAATTGTACTGTAGTGGTACCAACATCAAGCGCCGCGACGTATCTCATGATAAAAAGTTCACTCTTTTCTAGCAAATTCGAAAATTCCACTTTGATTTATTACGTATTCACGCATTCACACTCGACTCGGTTGACTGAATCGCGACAACTTACACCGACAAGTGTAATATTTGCTGTGTAACATTTTTACCTCGAGTATTATAAATAAGAAAAAAAACGTTATAAAAAAAATCCTCGCCGAAAAAAAAATAATTACTCAATCAGTATTCGATTCAAAGTACATTAAAACACGTTGCATGACTCGACTGTGTTTTCACGTATGACCTCGTAGGAAGTTTTATCGAGACTATACAACGCGTCATATAATGATGCGATGAATTCCCAGCCAGAAGTGAGTGGGGCAGATTATCGGAGTGAGTGTACTGCATCGAGTATACTTCTTGTCAATTATAGGCTGTAGCACAAACTTTTGTATAACGCTGTATAACGCATAAGGCATAAAGCATAACAGATTCAACCAATCAGAATATGAAGGATTCTCATAGATTGATTTTCTTATGCCTTATGGCCATAGCACAGATTCTTGCATAATGCATAATATATAGTGCATAAGGAAATCAACTAATCAGAATTTTTTCTTTCGTCTCATTTCACGGAAAAGAAGAATTTCGATTGGTTGATTCCCTTATGCACTATGCATTATGCATTATGCAAGAGTTCGTGCTGCGGCCATTACACGCATTCTACAATAAGCCATTAGCCTTATGCAAAAATTTGTGCTGCTTCTTATGACTGAAAAACATGATGCTAAAAAATTATTCACTAAATTCATTCACTTATCAATATTTTTCACCACATAAATCTAATCGATAATCTAACTCAGTGAACGTATATTATAACTACTGTCATAATATTCATTATAATTGAGATCAATGTAATTGCTCTAATTATATATATTTAATAATTTTATAATTTAATAATATTTAAAAATACTTCTGCTATAAAAATTTTATTTTATGAAATTATTATAGTAAAATTTGATAATGTTTACAGATTCCTATATTTTCTTTAAGATTTTTCGTCTAATTGGAAACAAGTTGTTAGTATTAATTTTCGAATATCTTTAAGAAAATAAGAACTAGTTTTGGATTGGAAATTAATTCTAAATATAAGATTTTATTTCGAAAAGATAAAATTAGAAATGAAGATTATATCATTCGTTTGGAATTTAAACAATATAATTATTATCTAATTTCCCACGTAGCATATTTTATCAGAAAAAATATCGTGGGAAACGCCCATAAGAATAAGAACATCTTTTAAAGGGATAATATCCTTGGAAGTCTGTAATTATGAACTCGCTAAATATTTTACATCTGATAATCTTCGTTTCTAATTTTAGAAATTTTTTATATCAGGTTGCTAAAAAAGTCTGATCACAGAATGGTATAAATTCCGTACATTTTAGTGGGCACGGAAATTGTCATAGTAGTTCAAATATGAGTGTCACTGTCCCAGACGGCAGCATCGTGTTTCCCCACATAGATTGTCTACTTGTATCATGCTCGTCGATTTAGTAGACTTTTCGTAAAGGAAAAGTCTGGAAAAATGAAAGTTGTGTTTGTAAAGCATTGTGTAGCATTGTGTAGCAATGTGAAGCATCATAAAAATGATTAAAGTCTTATTTTTTTACGAATAAAATGCTATGTATATTTTTTAACTAACACCGGGTATTCAATATTTATCCGACAGTCCGCAATCTGTTGTAAGTGAGACGGGAAAATGTGCATTGCATTCTTTAATAAAGAAAAATAAAATAAAATTTATTAGCGAAAA